CAGGTTCCAAATTGTTTATATATATTGTTGTATGTAAATATGTGGCTGCTCCATTTTATAAATAAAATTTTTATAAGCCAGAATCTGGCATTGTTCTTTAAGGCCCTTTTAGGTTATTTAAGGAAATAAAGAAGTAAAATAGTTATTTTTACCTATTTTCATAAATAACCAAATTAGGCATTATTTTTCAATTACAAAAAAATCTCACAACAAGCCATTTCATTTGACAGACTGAACAGAGATGCTATGATGTTAGATAGTATAGACTGCATTTAAGTTTTTATTTTCTTTTCCAATTTAGTCCTGCATTTTTAATCACTGGCTAACATACAGTTGCTGTGACAAATGGTCAGACAACAAAAAATCCAGTAATATAATCCTTGAATTGAATTTGAGGATTACAATAATCTAGGTATTATCAATTTATGACATGACTAAAATCTACTTTTTGCTGCCTAATTATACCTCTAATAAGAAGACAGTCATACAAGGAGTTATGCTGAAAATATGTTTTATCATATGATTCATTTTATAAATATTATTTATATAGGTTTTTAAAAACCAGTTTTTACTCTGTTGGTATTCTGTTTCAATACTGGATTTGACAAATGCTTAAAATCCCTTTAAACTCTGGAACTTCAAATTTGAAAGCCCTACTATAGCCACCTGGCATCCCCCTTAACCCTTTTCCCCCAAAATCTTGAATCTGGGAAAGAAAAATGTATAAATTCTTTGCACAGTGTAAAATATTAATTCAATACTATTTAACTGATTTTAAAAATAATTTAAAAATTGGGTAGCAAACAGAATACTTTCAATTGAATAATGTTTTCTTCATAAAATCTTTCTTTTAAAATCCTAATTATGTGTAGAGGTTTTTGAACTTTTCAGTGAAGTGTTCAATATAGTTTGATTAGTAATTGATTGTATTTAAAATATACTTGCACAATAATATACTCTTAGAAACATTCTGGAGTGAAACTTAAAAGTTGGGAACTTTTAATTTCCTTCCACTGACTTATTTATATATTTCAATTACATGTTTGTTTACCCACAGACTACCCCAAATTATATTGTTACATCAAACAAACATTGAGTTTTCTTATTTGTGGTACCAATAAAATATTAACATGCAATACTTACATTTATTTTTTGCATTCTCATCCATGAGCATGTTGAAATGGTGGTGGCGGTTCCACGCAGCCATTTTGCCTTCGTGAGGAGCCCCGAGAAGCACCAGGGCCGCCCCGGCGGGCCCAACTCCGTCTAGGGGCTCCAGTGTCCTCACACTACAAATTTGTCACACACTCATAACCCAAAAAGCATAACTAACACACACTCGCGATCAAAACGCCGTCGCCTCCGACGGCGATGTCATCGGCGCCAAAGCGCGGCGCACATGCCTCGGACACTTCCGCTACACGCACTTATGCACTCGCGGGTAAACAAGCACGACCAACACGCCGAGCGGTGATTCACCTCCGAGAGCCGTTGCGCGCTCCGCACTGCAACTCGACTGTGCCGTTCGCTCGCGGACCAGAGCCGACTGGCACCCAAACACTCGTCCCGTGCTTGTGTCACGTGTGCGCTGCAGCGATCGACGACACCGACACAATCCCGCACAAAATAATGCACCTAACACAAATCAACGTCTTGTATTCATATACCTTTTAAAAGACCTAGAAGATAGGATGCATGGGAGCGCATGACGCGTGTCACATTGGTAGATCCAATCTTTACCAATTCAATCAGTCGAACTTGTGAACAAAATAACAACAACTGTGCATGAGACGTTCGCAGTATATATGCACGTGGGTTGCGTCACAACTAGAAACTTAAAATGTTAAGAAAACACTGCAGTAGGTGAGAATGTCTAAAAACGCGACGGAATTCTTAGAATACAGAGTGAATACATGTATCTAGCATTTCTAAAATTGTTGAAATTCGAACTACACTGTCGCACACTGAGGTAGCAAAAGGATCGATTTATCAAGTTTAAAATTAATTAATACAACACCATGAACAACACTATTTGTAAACAAAACACAGCCCGTAATACATTCATAAAAATAACAGTTTTAGAACAGTAATCGCGAACGCGTCGAACAAGCGCGACAAATAGGACAAAACATGGCAGACTTGAAAAGCACACGAACTTTGTCTCTGATCGTTTTTTATTTTTAAATGCTATATTCTCTAAAACGTTCCGTTCTCTTTAAATGTATTGTTTCGTTACAATATAACAATGATATTGAAGTATTAATTATATTGAGCATTGAAATAAGTGCAAGTCATTAAAAATTAACATGATATTATTTGTGCATAAAATTGATCCTTCAAAATCTCAGGCCTCTAATACTATCACGAAAGCTGTATGTAAACATAACATTTGATTAAAAAAATAACAAAATATTGTCTATGCGCAATATTGCTACTGAAAAAAAACCTACTACAATGGTAGTAAAAGCAGAATTTAAACACCGAGCAATTAAATGCTTAAGAAAAAATAAAAATAGGTATAACATACTAGAATAGTAGTTTATTAATTTTAATTGTGTTATGTCAGTTTCGTAGTAATTTTATATAAAGCCAGAAAAAAAATTGATGTCGAAATGAGGGATCTGCATTGCATAAAGGCATATTCTGGGTAATGCTAACTTTAAACATAATTTTAGCTTATTTTACATTAACAATAGAATTTATAGGTTACCTCTAGCTCACTTCAATACGATGTCGTCAATTTGATTTACTCCTAACTCTCGTAATAGAAATTAATTTGTTTAAAGCCATTTTCTTTATTTGCGAAGTAGTAAAGTTCGTTATTTTATTTCTCAATACAAAAAAAACCGCTTACATCTTGTTCTAATTAAACCATTCCTACTTATCAATACTTTTATAAAAACACTTAGGACAAATCAGAATGTCTCAGGCAAGGAACTTATATACTGACAGGGAATATGGGAATTAAAAAATGCACTCTAATTAGTTATGAATAAAGTCCATTTTGCTTCTACCTTCATATGGGGGAAAAATACTCCTAGCGCGATACGACAAAAAGTGGAATCTGTCCCTCTCTTGCAACTGTTTGGGTTACTTCTAAAACAAGACAGATTCCACCAATTCAGCTATGCTCTTGGAACGATTTTGAGGGTCACGTAAGCATTTCAGTTAGTATATAAGTTCCTTGGTCTCATGCTAATCGTTCTAACAACGACGTTTAGCTGCAATGAATATGAAATGAAATGTTAAATTTGACGCATTTGTATGAGAATATAATGTAGAATGGCTACACAAATGAAACATAATTTTTCGTTCTGTCGCTATTTTTAGGACACTGATTATATTACCAAAAATAAACAATATTTTATTAATAAACGATAAATCTGTCCGTACCTTTTTTGTTTATATTTTTCTATTATACATAACACCAGCTAGGTTATATTATATTAATTGATAAATTGCTTTTTTTCGAAATTGACAGGCAGTGGAGTGAGAGTAGAATATTTTGACTAAAATTGACTATGCGATGCCTAAGGAAAGAACCTACTCAATAACAAGCCAAGCTAGTCGTATTGAAGATCATGAAAAGTTCTTTCATTTATTTAGTCGTAACGTAATTTAGCATATTGTTATCCGTCATAACATAAAGCAGCTCTATTCTTTAACACAATCGGGAAGTAATACGATGAAATATACAACCCGCCTGCGACATATAAGAACAGGGGGCCAATCGCCTAACGGAAATGCTTTGGAAAACGCTAGCGCTTACGATTTTATGTTGTTATTTCTAGCCGCCTGAGGTATTCAAATGCCTCGCGCTCTTTCTTTTTCCCCCAGGGGGCCAATCGCCTAACTGGATTGCTTTGGAAAACGCTATCGCTTACGATTTCATTTTGTTATTTCTAGCCCCCTGAGGTTTTCAAATGCCTCGCGCTCTTTTTTTTTCTTTTGCATTGGTAATAACAATGTTAAAGAAAATGAGCGTGAGGTATTTCGGCGGTTAGAAATAACAAAATGAAATCGTAAGCGATAGCGTTTTCCAAAGCAATCTGGTTAGGCGATTGGCCCACTGGTTAGTGTTTTGGTAGTTTTGATAATCATTAGAAGGTTTACACCAAAGACATTATGTTTATGGTTTATACTACTCCGCTTGATGTAGCTCTATGTAGTCTCTGGCACAGCCAGAGGCCATGGACGAAGGATTTCGCTCACCTCACCACCAAATACTATTGTCTATGTCCCAAACTTCTCTAGGGATGCCTGGTCTTATGCAGTGAATCGATATTTTGAATCGTTATAACCCTTCTTCGCAATGGTCCCTAATAGGTGATTATAGACACGTGACGTATTTACAATTTGTTTGAAAATAGCTGTATACTGGATATTTTTTTGTATTTTTTTTACCTGTTCATAATGTTAATTTAAGTTTATTACATATATGATGGAAGTTGACCTCAATCCACGTCTATGAGTTTTATGTCATTTTCCAATTGACGACACCGTATGAAATAAAACAGGGAGAATAAAGCTTTGCTGATTTTTTTGCCAGTTCTTCTCAATACAAGGTCTTCGGTCCCCTACGGTCCCCCGGTAGATTTGAGAAACAATGGCGTGCGTTACGAATAAAACGAATAAATTAGGTTGAGTTGAGTTTTGAGTAATAAATTACACGTGAAAATATGTTTCAACGACCATGCCAGAGTCATGGGCAATTCTGATATATAAAGTATAATTAATTAGGTATATGAAATCATCCTAAAAGGTTTATAATAAAAAGTTGATTCTAGTCACATCATAAAAATAATGAATAAAATATTAATCAGTCAGAAAAGGTTTTGTCAATGAGTCATAACTTTAAGTTTCAAAATATTTAGATTTTAGTACAGTGACAAACTTTTGTTGCGTGTTTTAAGTTGATTCTATGATTTTTTATGAAACAATATATTTAAAAATAGGTGAACAGTAATACCGTGAATCTTTCCTCCATAATCGATTCAGATCGGGCATCCCTAACCTACCTACTTACTCCATCACTATATCGTCGTGTTCATGGTATTTTAGAGAACGACGCAATATTCAACTCTGTTTTGTAGTGAAATTGTTTTATAATAATTTGGTTTACGACCTGTTGAAAAGTAAAACTGTAATTTGTCTGGTTAGATAGGTATATTCTGTGTGTAAAACTTTATGATATAACGTTCAGGTTGTAAAGTTACTTGTGGCAATAAACATGCCTAAGCGTGGTGGTGGTGGAAGACCTAGAAACTGGAAAGATAGTGAGCATTTTGGTAAGTCAATATATGGTCGTTTAAATCGTCATTTCAATAGAAGGCATGTGGTGAATATATCTGGAATGTGTTATATTTTTACTATAAACATTTTATTACAGAACATGATGATCGAGCACATACAAGTAACACGAGACGTGTTAGTTTTAAGCCAGGTAATTTTACCAAAGGCAAAAACAAGTTCCGCAATTGGAATGATGCAAAATTGCAACTTTTGGACGATGACATTGATATGGGGGCAAACGGAGGGCAGCCTGGCCACCCAAGAAAAGGCGGTCAGTTTCACAGAGGACGTGGAGGACGGTTGAATTCCCCAGGTCCTCGCATGGACCGTTCAAAAAAGAAGTTTATTGCTGGGCTTCTACCATGGTATCAAATCATTATTCCATATGGAGCAAAACATGAGAAAGACGTTATTTTGAGGTCATTATTGAGTTTCATCTCACCAGAAGTTTTTATACCTCATTATTACAAATTGAATGGTAATGCAGCTGTTTTCTATGTAGACGATGTGAAAGTGGCAGAGAAATTATTTAATGCTGATAGAAAGATTTCCATGCCTGACGGTTACAAGCTTGCAGTGATTGTTAGGAATGCAGTCCCTAATGTGGCAATTGATGCACAAATGAAAGAGAAAATGAAATTAGTAATGGCTAAGAGATACAATGCTGCTACAAAGGCATTAGATTTGACAAAATTCCATGCAGATCCAGGTAGATAATGATACATGCTTCTTAATTAAACTAAAATATTTTCTTTGACAGTGAATTTATTTTATATTTATAATGTTTTTTTAGATCTTGCTGACATATTTTGTGCTTTGTTCCGTCCAATGATCATGTTGGCTGCAATTGATATAATTGCTGAAAATATTCCTGACTTAGAAGCATTAAACTTGAATGATAACAAACTTTATGGTATTGAACATCTGAAGATATTGTCTACGAAATTCAAGAACCTAAAAATTTTATATATGGGTGACAATAGGGTATGACATTTCATTTGTGAAGTTTTTATACAGCTAATAATTTTAATGAAACTTGTATATGTTGTAGGATTATTTGATAAATAGAAATTTCATGAAAACATGGATAATTAGACAATGGTGATCTTTGTATTAATGTTACTGTTAACAAGTTTTTTTCTGGCACTACGTATTCTACATACTTGGTATTTTTGAGAAATGTCATCACCTTTGTCTAGTTATCCATGTTTTCTCAAACTACCAAGGATTTTTGCAAAATTTTAATATTTATCTAATCATCTTACATACACATGTAATTGAGTTGAAAATATTTAGTTGGATCATCTATTATGAGACAATTCCATAGTAAAATTTTAAAACTTAAATGATATAAAATCTTCCAGATACCTTATTTGGGATCTTTGGATCCAATGAAGCAACTGCAGCTCGTGGAACTCTACCTCAAAGGCAATCCTTTGGTGAACAGGTTTAGTGATCACGAAATATATGTCAGGTAATACTTACCTTGTACGGCCATGTTCATGGCTTTGGGATTTTTACAATATTAGAATGTCGGTTGAATAAATGGAGATAAAATTGTGTTGTTACACAAAGTTTTATATTTCTTTGTGTCAGAAGTATGTCATTTCTAGTGACATAGAAATGGTGGTTCTGTAGTGTGGGTATATAAGCATGGCAAGAAAAATTATAAACTTGAGCTTTAAAAAAGCTGCTTAATAGTTCTGAACAGTAAAATAAAAAATTGTGACTTGGTTGTATTAAATTAAATCATTATTAGAGAGCATAGAATTACTGCTTTATATACTGTAATGACTTATTTAACTTTGGAAGACAGCGGCTGCACCAACAACTTCAATTGAAATAAAATTGACTGAGTTCATTGATTCTACATGTGTTGTTGCTCAAATTTTTGATATTTTAGATTGTTACTTACAGATTCTACCAACATCACAGTCACTGGTCATCCGAGCTGAAATATATTATGTATCTTAGTGCTCTTGCTGTAACTGAAATGTGTATTTAAGGAGTTAAAAGACAAGATTATTATGCAAAGAACTTTACAGACTGCATAGTTTTAAAAAATATGTAAAATTCAGCCCATTATTTAAAAAAACAATACTCATCTCATGATATAATTATGCAGTCTGTAAAGTGATTTCATTATTGATATTTGGATCATGTTGAATTGAACAACTTCATGTTACAATAATTTAAATTCTTAAAAGTAAGGATCTAAACATCCTATAATATGACTCAACACATTTATTTTAAACAAATATAAATTATTGCATAACATAGAGTTGAAATTACAATGCGTTGTGCATATTTGATTTAATGTTACATGCCTTGGAGAATGTTATTAATGTATATTAATTCTTGGAAAATACTACAAAAGCAAAATTTATGTCAGTGATTCAATTTACATATAATATTGTATTAAAAAGTTGACATTGGAAATAATATTTCATAAAATATTCAATATATTTAAAAAAAATACAAACTGTCCAACTTATGCATAGTTTGAAGAGGAAGTGTTTTCCGAGAACTTTAAAGCGGATTGCAGATCTAAAACGAAGCTATTCCGAAGCTAAACTACGCCAGCTTAGCTAAGACAAACTAAATATATGTCCTGTGCACACCAAAAACTGAGAGAAAGCTCAGTCAGTGTTGCGAAGTTCAATTAGATGCACATTGCTTGTCATGAACATTGAAAAAAGAAAAAGATTAATATTGTCTTATTATTGCCTAAGAAAAGATATTCCAGACCTTGGACATGTCGAAACAGAGGGTCTTAGCTTGGCTCATGTAGCTGGCTATCGGCAATCACAGCTAACTTAGCTTCACATATTTTAGTTAGCTCACATAGCTTAGTTTGCAGTCTGTTCACAAGTATGAAAAACTGCATCAGCTATGTGACCTACGCTAAACTAACTTAGCTCTTGGTCTGCAACCTGCAAAAGTTTTGCCTTGTACTGAAACTAACATTTGAATAAGTTTCAGAGAACATTCTGTATGCCCCTCTTTTGCTATGTTGTTTGTTGTCTCCAGTGATGTCCGGAAGAAGTTTCCGAAGCTGGTACGACTGGTGAGTGCAGTTCTCTTTTTTAGTTTGGACTATATCTTATAAATTCTCTGTCATACTATTTGCAAGTGGGATAGGGACGACAACTAACTTTTTTTTATTTTCGTCAATCTATTAGGTTGATTATCAAAAATTATTGGACACGTATTTTTTCTTTATTCACATAATCAAAACACAACAAAAATATATTGATTTGCAATGACGCACGACATCAAGTTTTTCTACAATTTTTATTTAGAAGTGACGTCACGAGCCCCCACTCCCAAACTTTGATGCTCTTTATCTTTGTCATGTTTTGGTTGTTTGATGAAAGAAAAAATACGTGTCCATTATTTGTTGATAATCTAAATGACGCACTAAATAGAATTTCGTTTAATTTACCACGTCATCACCCCTATTATTAGCCTGCGCACGTGTTCCCTTTTTCCTACAATATTTGGTCCTTTAAAAGAGGCGTGAGAAGCATTTCTGCAGGCCGGCAAACTGAGGATGGTTGATGTGGCAGTTTATAACTGCTGCTACTGCTATTTTTGCGTCTAGACTTTACCACCACTTAACATTAGGTGAGGTAGAACTCTTTGTATACCTAGCTATAAAAAAAAAACCTGCCAAGTGCGAGTCAGACTCGCGCACCGAGGGTTTCGTACAAACCTGAAGGTATATATTAATTATTAAAACAAATATAATATGTGATGTAACTAAAAATTTACGGTTTTAGCAAATTTTCACGGGAAGTACCCTATAGGTTTTGATTCCATTGCCAGTTCGGAAAATTTGGGGGCGGCATAAACGGCTGTTTCTTTTGATTGCATTGGCTTAGAAGTTTGATTTTTTCACAGCTCCAAGGGACAGTAGACCTGAGTATTAGATATGAATTTCAGTTTGATACCTCCATGCGTTCTTGAGAAAAACGGTCTTGACACACGAACGGACGGACGGACAAGAAAGTGATCCTATAAGGGTTCTGTTTTTTCCTTTTGGGGTAGGGAACCCTAAAAATAATTGGATAATTTAGATTGCATTGCTTATTTGATCGCTAGGATGGAGTGGAGTTGCCGCCAGCCATAGGTTTCGACGTATCAGAAGATGTAACACTTCCGCCAACACAACAGTCCTTCCTCGTAGATCCTGCGGGACAAGATTTAGTTAGAGAATTCCTGACGCAATACTTCGCGATATATGACTCGGAGTCGAGACAGCCTTTGCTAGAGGCATATCATGAGCATGCTACTATGTCTATGGCTGCAAGTTACTTGAGCAACGATAATAGAAATTCACCAGCCAGCAGGTAATTATCATGTTAAAATATTATTGAACTTAAAAAATTTCAGTACAGTTTTTACTACTTTACTTTTTTCGGTAATGACAGATGAATAATGGCTCAAATACACTTGGTCGTTAGCCCGTATTCGGGTGCACGGAAGACATTACTCGAATTCCGGCACCCGAATCAATATTTACACTGAAATACGGGCTGGAAGACGATGTCGGTTTACCAAAACAAAAAATACCCGAATTCCATTCATATTAATTTATGCCATTCTTGATGTTTACATGCTGTTACAAAAAAATATATATCATTCCAAACAAGAACCCAGTTAGGGTATTGCAATAATTCTAAACTAAATAGGTAGATCTACAGTCTATAATTATAAAACGTTCCAATATAACGAATTTTCAATATTATATAACATATTGTAAAAATTAATTGAATTGTCCAAACCAAAATATAATGCAAATGTCAAAAATTAAGACATTGGCACTCTTTTCGGGCTAACGACCAAGTGTAATCGCGCCGTAATACAATATACGACGTAAATTAATGAAGCATTAAACTAATTAGGTTTTCTAAGTTACTTTTTAAAAAACCCTCAAGGAGATTGTGAATGTTTCTTGTTTCATATCATTATCATCATCACCAGCATATTAATGTCCCCACTACGGGGGCACAGGCTTTCCCCATTGATGTAATAAGGAGATTGTTTCATATAATGCATATTTATCCTTCTCTTTTAGGCTCAATTCATACATTACGAATAGCAGAAATATTTTAAGGGTGACCGAGAGAGAGTACAGACGACGCCACATGAAAACGGGCAGGCTACAGGTGGTGTCATTCCTGTCAGAATTCCCCAAGACTACACACGACCTTATGGGATTTGCTGTTGATTTACTAGTCTTCACTGTAAGTATACCTGTTCCTGAATAATAATCTATACATATAATAAAATGGTAGGAAAGTCAAAACTGTACATTGAATATTTTTTTAAAAGAATAATTAGGGTGTGATCTACAATCGATACCGAAGCCAAAAATCTAGTTTTTAGAATTTTTGTCTGTTTCTCTGTATGTATGTCCGGGATAAACTCAAGAGTACTGCATGGATTTACTTTAAATTTACTACGAATATTATTAAGAAGTCGGGTCAACATATAGGCTACATATTATCACGCTATCGCCTATGGGGAATGTGCAAAGAACATTTATTTTTAACTAACTCCACGCGTACGAAGTCGAGGGCGGCCGCTAGTAACAGCATATTATTCAGATATAATATGAAATACATAAAAGTTGAAACTGCATTATTACAAAATTACTCACTAAAGTTAAATTTGCACTACTACTAATGTTGTCATTTTTGTTTGCAAAAAAGAAGACGGAGACAACAATAGATTTTAAAGTGTTTCAACCAAGACTAAAGTTAGTCTGCATGTTGGAATAATGTGGTTTGTCTTATTATATCTGTATGCCCTTAATTGGGTCATATCGTATCCATTCCTTATTAACTTGCTAATAGAAGCTTTGCAGATTGTGAGATTAACCAATAAGTATTGGTAGTAATCTAGACTATGGAAAAGAAATGTTAATATTTAAAAAGCAAAATAGATTTTTTTGACAACTTACAACATTTATACAGTCTTAATCACGAAGACCTAATACTATTGAAACTGAATAACATAGTAAAATCCATTATAATCCTGCTCTGCCAGCCTGTTCGCTGACTTTTTTGACATTTTCAGTGGTGTCGATTCTGGCATGATTCTCTAAACTTAAACTAAATTTAACATCAGTCTCTCCTTTTCATTATGTATAGAGAATGATAAGGATGCACTGTTGTCAAATTTAAATTTAGGTTTAGAGAATCATGTCAGAATCGACACCAGTGTGTAACTAAAGTGAAAATTGCATATCCATTGATGCTTATCAGAACAAGTATCAGTAGCATTATAATAAAGCAGTAATGGATCACTAAATAGCTAACATTATCACTTCCATCTGCCAATAGCAGTTAGCGAATAGGCCAATTGTTGCCTATATATTTGTGATTTGTGCCATATAGAATATTATTTGCCAGGATAGCAAAAACGTGGCCCAAATCCTGTTGGACACTTGGGCCAAGTAGAATGATGTTTTGTAAATTTTTTAGACATACAGGTCATAAGTTCGTTATGCAATGATAATTTCTTGTCTGATATTCTTTGTTTGATTGAATAAATGATTTCAAAGTAAAATATCTTGTCCTCAGCCTGCCATGATAGTTTTGACAATGAATGGAGTATTCAAAGAGACTAACACTAACGGCAATCCGACGCGAGCGTTCCACCGCACGTTTGTGATCGTTCCCAACGCTACGGGCGGTTTCAGCATCATCAACGATATGTTGTATATCACCAATACTACTAAGGAACAGGTAAATCTCATCAGCCTACTAATGTCCCCACTGCTGGGGCACAGGCCTTCCCTATGGATGGAATAGGGAGATTGATTGGGCCATGACCCACCACGCGGGCCCCGTGTGGATTGGCGGGTGCTAACGACTCCAGATACAGCCGGAACCAACGGCTTAACGTGCCTTCTGAAGCACGGAGGAACTCGAGATAGAATATTTTTGGTCACCCATCCAATGACCGACCACTGCGAAAGTTGCTTAACTTCAACGATCGCAGCCGAACGCGCTAACCACCCGCGCCATCGAGCTCCTACAGGTAGATACCAATCTATAAAAAACTATTTGTATGAATAAGGAGAATTAATGGAGAAGATCGATGGTGCATGACATTATCGTGCTTAGTATGCGAACAATTATTGTGTGGACAGGATTGAATAGCTGTCTTTAAAATCTTATTATCTCGACCTTCTCTGTGCTAAGGAGGACATAATTAGCCTATAGTACCGGCTGCATCTGCAGTTGTTAGCACCCCCCAATCTGCACTGGGTCCGTGTGGTGCGTCATGGCTAACGTTGCCATCTGCCCGGATAAACCAGGACACTGTAGGCTTTTTGATCTCTTATCCGAGCCAATTTAAAATATGCAAATGAAAATACCAACTAAAACTTTTTTTAAATACATAGAATGATGTTCTGGCAGACCGTTATGCGTTATAAACCCTGATACTGATGATAGACGACACCAGCTCATTGCGCTGAGGCGCGAGCACGGATTTTTGACAGCTTTAACAATTATATTGTTACTAGCTGACCCAGCGAACTTCGTACCGCCCTAAAAAAATAGGGGTTGTCCAGCGGACAAAATTGTGAATCTAAACCATTCTCAGATCCCCTTGAACACACACAAAAAATTTCATCAAAATCGGTCCAGTCTCGTTTAAGAGAAGTTCAGTGATATACACACTCACAGAAGAATTATATATATAAAAGATTATTATTCCTATTGGTGTGAATGTTAGAAATATTTTTTGTTAAGACATTCGTATTCGTTATTAGGAAGAGAAAGCATTCGCGACGGGCGCCGTTGAAGCCGTTCCCCCTGCGCCCGCGCCGACGCCGGCGCCTTTAGCAGACAACTCGCAAAAGATGATGCTGGGTTTGCTCGGCCAGCAGACCGGCATGAACGACCACTGGAGCATGAAGTGAGTTATATTTCCTACTAGCGGCCGCCCGCGACTTCGTCCGCGTTAATTTTTAGTTTTTTTTTTCTAAAATAAAAGTAGCCTAAGTTACTACTTATTACATCAGCTACCTGCCAATAGAAGTCTCGTCAAAATCGGTCCAGCCATTTCAGAGATTAGCCGGAACAAACAGATAGAAAGACAGACAAAAATTAAAAAAAAAATTTTTAGTGTACACTCCAGTTTTATTTATATGTATAAATATAATAATTAGATCTTGAACTGAGTCCTATTTTCATATAAATAACTAATGGAATTTCGTCTGCCTAGTTTTATTCCTCATACAAAGGGAATCAAGGGGTGGAAGCCTTACAGGATGATTTCTAGGTTCATCCCAGATATGGAATTCTACGTTGTTTCTTGGGATTAAAAACTATCTCTATACCAAATTACATCTAACTCGATTTAGTGGTCTAATCGTGAAAATTTAACAGACAGACACACTTTCGCATTTATTAGTATGGTATTTTATAGTAGGGATTTACAATACGGGTGACATACAAGAGCATATTGACCGTCTAATCGTGTGGTCCAACTGGGGGTCAATCGCCTAACGGATTGACTATGGGTATCGCTATCGCTTTCGATTTCATTTTGTTATTTCTGACCGCGGAAAGTTTTCAAAAACCTTACGCTCATTGTCTTTTATAATGTTGTTACCAATGCAATAGAAAAAAACGAGTGCGTGGCATTTGAAAACCTTCGGTGGTCAGAAATAACAAAATGAAATCGTAAGAGGTAGCGATAGCCATAGCAATCCCATTAGGCGAATGACCCTCGGGCCTTTCTTCGGAAAGTAGAGGGAGAGTTTCAAACGGGCGCACCAGTTCAAATTGAAAATCCACTGGATAGCTCTCTTAGAGCGGCCATACACGGACTTCTCAAGCAGTTAGCTAATGATTAACATACACGAACCGCTCTAGGAGTCTAGAGTCAATACTACCCTTAGCACGAACCAATATCGAATTAGTAACATTTACGAGTGCGAAATGTCATTGTTAAAATTTGCACGGAAACTTGAACAGACGTAACGAGAACTAAAAATCAGTACACATTTGACGTGTGTATAGATCGAATTTAAAAAATAGTTCCTGCTAAGGGTACAGCTGGTAGCTGTCTTTTCACAGCGCTGCCAATCGCCCGAAGCGGTTTTATATATAGTCTCTTCCAAACGAATTTAGACCAAAGGCAAACACTTTAATCTCTCAATTCCCACGCAATGAATCACTAAATGGATTTCTCAAGCATTCCTAGGGGTTTGACATATTAATTCGCTATCTTTTGTAGCACTCATTTCTTTATTAATTTATGAAAAATCATAAATAAAAAATCAAGTCGAAAAGTAAGGTTATTTTGGCAGACGGGAATTGTCTGTTGTCTATGTTTGAATAGTGTTGCACCGAAAAGTCTATTCAAAATTATATCAATTGACGTTAACAATTGAATAGTGAATCGATTATATAAATGGTTATATGGGCTTAAAAATCATCTCATTTTTATCAGTAATCTAACATATGCAAAATTTATTTGTTTGATATACTTACGTATCTTTTTTATATAATAATAAATACAATTATTCAGATTTGTTTATTAAACGTAAAAATTGACTACTGTTCAATGAAGTAACTTAACTGAATGCAGGACGTTCAACAGGATAATGCTGCGAGCTCGCTAGCCGACGAACCTAGATATTTAATAAATCACGCAAATCAATTGTTCAAAAAGAGTTTTATTAAGCAACAGAATATAGTTAACTATATTGCCAAATACAGTTAACAGCCAGAACTATTTTTTGAGTAATGATGATAAAAATTTATTAATGTTACAAATTAAGCCTTTTAGATTTTTAACAATTTCTAAGAATATGATCATTCAATTGATCAATTGATTTTGATAAGGCTCTATGAATCCCCATCACTAAACTGTCTATGGTCAGACTTACCTACCTCTTTGTTTACTTTTGGTCGAAATTCGTTTGAAGCATATATATGTGTACGTAGCAGACTGTAGTTCACTATGCAATACCCGTGTATGGTAACCTGCTCTTATATGAGGAGCTGGTGAACAAAACGGTATAATTGAATCAAATTAAATTTTACAGGAGCAGTAAAAAACTAATTGATATACCTACAGTGAGCTTTTGGCGTGATTTTTAATTTAGTAATTTACACTATTTTAGGCGGTTTTTTATTGACATGAGTTGAAATTCAAATTCAGATGGCCTGTAACCTCCGGGCTGTAAAAAGCAGTATATGGTCAAAACCATATGCGTAATTATACCGTTTTGTTCGCCAGCTCCTCAGTATAGTTATATTTTCTTTAGATTTACAACAAGCAGTTACATGCTTAAAAATTTGAAATTATAACTCAAGAGAGTGGCTGCGCTTTTTTTGGATTTTGCTTAGATTTTATCGTTTTTCTTTAATATTTCTTAATTATTCTTAAAAAATATTTTTTCCTACAGCTGCTTACAAGAGACTGGTTGGGATCTTCAAAGAGCTCTCTTCATTTTCAATCAGCTCAACTCTGAAGGAAAAATACCACCCGAAGCGTTCGTCAAATGAAGACTTCTGAGCGCTGAATGCGTGTTTCAAACTTAAAATATCGCGTTCGCGTAATCGTGAAATTCCTCTGCCTTTAAGCAGCGCCATCTAGTAAACGATATTTCTATTATAACAAAATAATAATAAATATCGCTACACTTCTTGAAAGTTAGACTGAAAAGGATTGCAGGGTTTTTTAAAGTAACCTCTAAGGTGTCGTCCTAATCGAATTTTGTAACGAATACGCGATCAAACTAATAAATTATGCGTGCTGCGTTTTGAATTTTATGGACAAATGTTTGTGCGAAATTGCAATGATCGCGACTTCACGTTATTTTAGGACAACGCCTTAGGAATATTATCAGCATTGTTAGTATCTATTTCTTTGATTTATTGAACCGCTGAAGAAATGTCGTTGTTCTTTCAGCAAGTGTGGCGCTGTCTTTACGTATACGCGAATGAGTTACAAACGCGCATTAGGCACTTAATATTCAGAAAGGCTGTGCCTCAAAATTGTACATATTAAACTAAGAAGAATTATATTTTTTGTTAAGGATTATCCATGATTAAGTTATGTTTGTTCATAAAGTTCGAATAGTAAATGATAAAAGGATGAATTTAATTGAAAAATCAATTGACGCATTCCTTATGGAAGCGTAGCCGTGAATCTTGAGAAATAAATCGTAACTAATAATTGTGCTAACTTTTTGACACTGTTGAATCTTTTGTGGCTAAGTAAATTCCTATTAGGGCTTTTTATTATAAAAAGAAAAGTTTAGTAACACGTATAATAAGTAGATAATATTGTTATTTTAGAGTTAAAACGTGGACTTAGTTTTAAAGGAATATTTAGATTAAAAAAAAATAAGTCATAATTTTTTGACAAAATGCCTTACGAGTTTGGTTGTCGATATTACATATTTTTTATGTAAAATGTTGTGTGTGTCAGGATTGTCTTTGGAATTTATATTTGTATCTTTTTTAATTATTTCAAAATAATATCGGGAAATTGTCTGCGAAGAAATGTTTTGTACCAAGATGACAACAATATTATGTGTTATTCTAATATTTTGAAGAGTTATTAGAAAGTAAACCGATTAGGACTTTCTGATATCTTTTTCTGTAAATAAATACTTAAATGCCCGGTTTCTTAATGAATATTTAGTTTAATTTCATAAAGCGATATTATCTACCAGACATCACATACATACGGTAGATAATAATTGTTTAATATAGTAAACATGAGATTATATATTATTAGAACTCTTATTGAAATTGTAAGAAGCTACTTTAAAGAATATCATTTTTACTAGAAAAAAATGCCGTTTAAAACTATGAAAATGATTGATTTTTTTCTAGTAAAAATATTGAAAGGTATATAAATATTGTGAGAAATTCATCAACGCTAATTTTATGTTATTGTACAGTCATATAATTTGATTTAAACTTCAGTACTTAATTGTATTTTTATTGTGTGTAGAAAAAAAAAAAAACACTATAGACGAGTTATTACGTGATAATGGAAATCAGGCATTAAAAAAGTTGAGCAAATCCAAAACTTAAAAAATCATCTGTAACGCTAGCAAGGTGATATAAATTTAATATATCAGTTTCTTTTTGTCATCGAAAACATCTTCAAAACATTTCTTGCTCTGTGTGAGATAAAAACAAACGCACATTGTATTAATTGACCTGCATTTAAAATAAGAATTTGTTAAATAAAAAAAAAAAAGATTAAACAAATGAAGAAAGAAAAAATGTGTAAATATAAAATATGAATGAACTTTTAGCTGCAATGGAAATGTCAGAACAAGGTAGATAGTGAGGGGTCATACAAGGCGCTGTTACGTCGACTGTGGCGTAATTTTTACAAAACACGGCTCAATATGGCTAATGTTGTTTCACGCATTTTATGGTCCTTTTGGATTGTGATGCGGTATTCCATGGTGTGGTCGGTGTGATCTTACTCCCGTGACGGAACCCCATTGGTGGGCTAGTCGCGATGTTTGGGACCCCATGGATTTGTCTCGACAAAGCCTTGGCCGTCGTGTCACGAAAGCTCGTCGCGTCAGTTGCCTTGCGGGTGGTGCGTAGGGAACAATCGATTTAAGAATTGAGACTGTGCTTGGTTACATTACTTGATGAATACATTATTATTTTTCCTTGGAGACTTTTGTTTTATTTAACTCCTTTATTGTTAGTACTCGTCAAAAGCATGGCTCACGTCTTTCTCGCAAATGATAACCGAAACTTACCGCCTTAGATTAAAACAAAAAGGGAAGATACGGTACGCTCATACTAACATCAAATAAAATATGCTCCGACAACTACATAAGCAAGTCTCACACAAGCACACTTCTGTAAATAATCATTGAATTGAGCGAGCGAGACAGAACTAGGCTTCAACGCAGAGCGAGCGACAAAGCGAGTCCGCATCGCTTAAAACGTTTGAATAGAAATCCAATAAAATGAGCGAAAATCAAATAATCCGTCAAACAAAGCAATCAGTACTTCGTCGTTAATGCAGAATAAAGGTAAAAAACTCCCCACACTTTTACTGAAACATAGGGATTGATTTGACTGCCACTTACTTTGACCACGATTGTGAGTATAGTATTTGTAAACATTTTAACACTTGACATTGGCTAAATGCACAAGCCGTGCACATTTAGAAAAAAAAGCAGCAAAAATATACTAATTACAAAAATAAAGTAAATATTTTAACCACGTCCTATATTTTTTTAAAAAATTTTGCCATCTACTATATTTTTAGAGGTAACAACTTCGAAAATACTTTATTTGATAGAAAAAAGTTGGTAACCCTAGCTATGCCCTACCTTTGTTCGTGATAGTTGAGAAAATAATATTTTAGTGTTGGCCAGTGCATATTCTGGCCTAATTGCATCAGTTCTTAAAGTAATAATTTTGAAGCCTTTCTATATTTGACTTTAAATAATTGACAAAGATGGAATGACGTGTTAAGCAAAGGACTGAGCCTTACTTTGATTTATTAATTATTGTTGGTGGTTGGTGCAAGTGGCCTCAACTCGATGGATTATTGTTATGGGTAACTGTTGAAGGTTAACGTCAATCCAGCAGCGTCGCTTTTGTCGATAACAAAAGAAAACAACGCGTTACAATTACAATTTGTACACTATACTTTAAATCCAGGCCGCTTCTAAGCCTGCGGGGTGGATTCGAATGTTTTAGTCACAGCAAATCCAAAGAAAACTCCATGCCTATCCCAGTAGGAAGGTGTCCACGAGTAGCGAAGAACAGATGAGACTATAGATCAGTGGTTCCCAATCTTTTAGTGAGGGGACCATGAATCAAAATTTTTGTGTTGCCACCAATGATAAAAATATTAAGATCGTTGGTTGCCACGTACTATTTGCACCCTCCGCGCTCTTTCTCGATGACGGGGGGAGGTATAGGTCTTAAACGAATGTCTATATGGCTACGATAATATGGCTTCTGCCGCCTCTTGCCTTAGGTAAATATCCCCTGATTTGCAGGTACTATACTTGTGCGTACTTACCCATGTAATATTTTTTCGAATGGCTTTGCGGGATCACTTCGGGTGCTTCCAGGGACTACCAGTGGTCTATGGACCACCGTTTAAGAATCACTGCTGTAGGTGGATTCTACTGCAAACAAAACAACTATAACCTTGTGAATTGGAACTTTATTTATACAAAAACATTATCTGATCGAACTGAGATGTAGGAAATAGCTTGCCTACATGTAGGTAATTTTTTTTTACCTGGTACTATGAAACTACAGGGAAATTACTTTTATCAACTCAACGGAGCGTGCGTTGAAACTTTTGACGCTTAGGTATATATTTATATATGGATTTGTTGTTACGATACGCATAACATTCCAGGGACCACCAGACTACCAGTGATTTGCGGACCACCATTTAAAAATCACTGCTGTAGATGGATTCTACTGCAAACATAACAACCATAACCTTGTGAATTGGAACTTTTGGAACATACAAACGAAATGTGGAGTAGTAGGTAACAACAATTTCTGATATGAACTTTGGCTCCGTAATCATTTCGAAAAGGCAATTCGTGAGGGCGTGAGGTCATAATGTTAACCATTTATGCTATTACAGTATTATTCGTGCGCCTTAAGCATATTAATGTACAATTTACATCGCATTAATCGGTTATTTTATAACAATACTCTTATGCATTTTTACTTATAGCCCAAAATCAAAATAGATAACAGTTTGGCAGATTGTAGAAATATGATGTTCACTGTACCTATTATTATTGTTTGAAACTTTTCCTTATAATGAGTAGGAAATGAGTTTATAAACAGAAAGTTACATTCCATTGCAAATTGTAGTAAACATAATATAAATGATAAAGGTAATGGGGTTTATCTTTATTAAATGTTTTGTAACGTTTCCTGCGACTATGTCGCGAGTAGGTGTTATATTAATTAATAAGTAAAACAAAAAAAATCTGACACACCAAATAGCCTAGCCCCAAAGTAAGTACTGTACGGCTTGTGTTATGGGATACTAGGTAACAGATAGAAGGACAATTTATAATCCATGTATAAGTATATGTTTCTATAAATAAATACTTATAAGCAGCCATGACTTAGGTACAATGCCGTCATACAAACATTTGCCTCACAGGGATTCGAACCCAGGACATGTTCATGATATCGAGCCCTTACCGCCAAATTATCGTAAGCGACACTCGCCAAATTATTGTAAGCGACACTTTTGTCGAAATGCGTTTTTTGTGGAATCTAATATTTTAAACCGTAACGGACCCATCTCTGTTGATATTTCCCTCCAAAAGAACACCGTTATAATATAATAGAGGGAAGAATAGAGGGAAATATCAACAGAGATGGGTCCGTTACGGTTTAAAATATTAGTTTCCACAAAAAACGCATTTCGACAAAAGTGTCGCTTACGATAATTTGGCGAGTGTCGCTTACGATAATTTGGCGGTAAGGGCTCGATATATCGATACGTAACTATTTGATAAAATTAAATTCTTCCTAAAAGGATCTGTTTTTCCTTATCTTCAATTCCTCATAGTTGATGCGATAACATTGGCATGAAGTTAATTCACATGTTTTAACGATTGTTCTTTAACGCAATGTGGGCTGATAAGCATGTTTACCCACCTATCACAAGATGAAATGTTTGCATACATCTGATAATACCCGTAAGAGCTCTTATCAACGCCATACTATTAAACTTGTATGCTTAGAATAAAGACGGGATGGTAGGTAATGATAAATCACGTTGAATTTTAACCAGGCTGAACTCTACGCAGAGATTGTTCCAGATTTTTGAAATAAAATACTTTTTCGCGTTGAGCTCCTCCAAGCAAGGTTTTCGGAGCTCCATAGGTTAGGGTACAATGTTTGGCTAATAAGATGAAGGTAAGTGACTGGGTGGCAGGTAAACATAGGTTTCGTGGTAGAATCTCTAAACGGGGACCCCACGTCTTCGCATTAAGCAGTGTAGAAGGTATTCGCAGGACTTTTTTAGCGGATATTATGCTGTAAAGCGCCCGTAAGAGTTGCGGGGTCCTCGGTGGGCAGCCACTGGGGGGTTCGTAAGACTTGCGGGAGCCAGGTGTGAGGTCCGTTCGGCGGTGTGCCTCTTAAAGGTGCCATCGTCTGTAAACAGCATTTTTTACCTGCGTTATAAAAAAAAAGGCACGCGTAGGTTATAAATAAAAAAAACTTGGAACCTTGTTTTTAAGCTGCAATCTCACTTAAGTTTTTATTTATTCGTTTTTTTGACAAATATCAAATATTTAATACTGGCTGGTTCTACAGATGTAACGACATTTCGCCAATATTTATTTTTTATGTATTTTTTTTGGAAAGGGTATACCCTTTCCAATAATCCGAAGTTTATAAATATGGAAAAAAACCTTTTATGGTAACACCTCTACATGTAAAGTGGGAGTGAACTTTTTTTCACCGTCTGCTCCATCGAAACGACTTAGGTTGCTAAGATTATTTTTCGATTTAGGGATCCTTTTGTGAAATATTAAACTGCAAATTTTGGTGTCACGAGGGTCAGGACTATAATCGTCTTGCACCGTCTGCCTACGAAGGTAGGCTCATTGCCTGTGTTGATTAACTCTAGGTTAGTAGTCAGGAGGAATTCAAATAATTGGTGACCTCTGTTGTTGCTTTGTTCCATTCTCCACACAGGGAATGATGGGTGTTGGAGTCTGTCGCGATGATCAGTTCTACGTTTTCTCGTGCACAGAAGCGGACCAAAGATGCAACGCCTTCTGGTGGGGCCCGCTCACCGTCAGGCATATACGCAGAAGCTATGATCACGTCGTAACTGTTATTATCTTGGTTTAGGGGCAGTTTTACACTACATAGATCTCTGGAACAGAGATTTATTAAAGGCTGTGTTCTGATGACTTTGTATATACACATGCAGGTCCTTACGTCGCTTGAACGAGCTTACATCCACGGCTTCTGATTTAGTGCAAATGCTGTGTTGTAGGTCTCCAATAGCGTTGCCAGTTTTTTTTTGCCAAGTCAGGATTTAGGAACTTTTTCAGTGAAAAAAGCGGGATTCTTTCGCCGAAAGCGGGACATAGTAAAAAAACCTATATAATCAAAAGGTTTTGAATATTTATTTACCGGCTGCAGGCGGCCAGTCCACACTTGTCTGTGCCACCCGGCCGCGCTTTCCCAGTTCGCTGCACGTGCGGTTGAGTCATTCCCTAAAAGCGGCATTGAGCCTGTTCCGCGCGGGACATTTAATTTTGATTTAAAAATCGGGACGTCTGGCAACGCTGGTCTCCAACCATCGCCGAAGTTGAGTCGTACCGGCTCCGCTGTGTTGGAGATTTATTTGTAGTACGTTGGCTTTACTGCAGTGGGACGCCATCGTCCTGGCATTCGCGGTCCTTAAGCCCCAGCTCGTCGAGTCCCGCGCGGGACATTTAATTTTGATTTAAAAATCGGGACGTCTGGCAACGCTGGTCTCCAACCATCGCCGAAGTTGAGTCGTACCGGCTCCGCTGTGTTGGAGATTTATTTGTAGTACGTTGGCTTTACTGCAGTGGGACGCCATCGTCCTGGCATTCACGGTCCTTAAGCCCCAGCTCGTCGAGTCCCAAGAGACATCCCTCATTAAGGGGCGAAGATGCCG